GCATATATTTTGAGGTTTCCAAAAAATTTCAGGACACGGCCACTGCCGACTCCCTTTAACGAAAAAAATTTCTGTGACCCCCCTTCCGAGAAAATTTTCTCGGATAGCCACTGCTATGATTGGGAAGCATGAAAACATTATTTCTACTCTCGGAGGACTTTGCCATTGTTTTTGTTCACCTTGCGCCGGTTTTGTCATCAAACTAACATAAGGAACATTGATAGCATTTTTTTTTCAAAATTAGATGTGCCATGCCACTAAAAATTCTAACTCAAATTTGAATAAAATCATTCTTAGGAGAAGAAACGTGCAGGATTTATCGACGCAAGTTTCGCAGTTTGAACTTGCTAGTATCTCACAACATACCTCTATGTAGTTTTCCATTATTTCCAGTCGACAGAAGGTTTGCGCTCCGAACGAACCATTCTTGTCCAGTAATGGCCTTTCTAAGAACTCAGTCTTCTCCCTGATCTTTCGCGGATCTATACGATATGATATGTCGCATCGTTTGCTGGGATCAGGATTCTAAAAAGACATGTTTCTTGTAAATAAACCAAAATGTTGAACATTACCTGATCCAGAAGCGTAATGGAAACTACAAGGGCAAACGGCCATTCTAACAGAGGATCGTACTTGCCTCGGACAAGAGTCAGATATACGGAGAGGAATTTGCCGCGAACTGTAAAATCACATCTTTAGTTTGGCACCGTATTATTTTTTCTGATAAATTTTCTGCGTTGTCTCCATTGTATTAGAAAAAAAATTGTGCCTTGCGTACTTACTTGACAACGCTTGCGCGTAGAAATCGATCATGGAGCACAAGACTTGAAATCATGTACTCAACGGCCGTTCTTCATAAAGTATTGTCGGCACAGTAGAGATATAGTAGCCAACAAACTTACTGATTGTAAATAAACAAAAATAAACATTTGTGTTTTACTACAATAGTACAAAACTACAATAAAACTACAATATTACTAAAATAATACTAAACTATTGAGACGATGATTGGTCCTAGCTTTCAGATGAAAATTCGTCATTTTTTACGTAATTTTAGTTTGTTCATTTTTCTGTCTTTTCTCCATGAATCATCGCCATTTGCTACATGGCAAGCGTAAGATTTTTCAACGATTTATAGTCACTTCGATAGAAAACGCTCCATACCTCAAAGTACATTAGCTATAGCAATTACATTGCTAATTTTTCTAAAACAATAAGCAAAAAATATTTAAAAACTAGATAGACTTTTTATCAAGGCGGGTCTTCTTCATATGGGTCAAATTTGTCCT